TAAAAGTAATCAAGCTATGTTTTTGAATTTGTACTTAAAAGACCAGAAGCTTCTGTCCACAACATTTCTTTCATCGCACAGTTTCAAGTAGAAGTTGTATGCAGCGTTAATAGACTTTGGTTTTGTTAGTTCAACAACATGTAAGATTTCAAGTTCCAACCCTTGCCAGCGGCCTCGAAATCCAGCTGTACAGTGTTTTCTTGGTACCTTTTGAATATTCTCTCTCTGATTTTCGTTATCTGGTAAATCATCAGGGTTAGGGTTCATATCTTCTAATCTTTCGACCTCTCCTGAACTGTCTTCATTCTCAGAGTCATCATTAAGTTTTACAGATCTCTCAAACATTACTTCAGGCTTCGATATTAAATACGGAAGATTATCATGCAAGATCACTGTAAGATGAGGGAAAATTTGCAGTCTAAATGTGGAAAGAATTTCATGATTCTGAAGGGTATGTGTCAAATTTGGGAGTTTCTTGTGGATCTTCAAATGAAGTTTCTGGAAATCTTCGTAGGAAACATACCAGTTATTTTGCATCAAACCTATGCATGACACATAGGTACAAATTTCTGTCAACAAATGAATGTTGATACTTCTTCCATCAAATTGCAAAGAACCTCCGAAATCCATGGAAAGGAAAAATTATTGTCTTTTGCAATGTCTCGGAATTTTGAAGAATGAACTAATCCTTCTGATTCTAGAGAATGGATAACAAGATTGGTGACTTCTATGCTTTTGTCAGTAGAAATTTGGCCAGATTGTTCATATAGAATTTTTAAATACCCATTTCCTCTCCAAGCTATTTTAGGATTTCTATTCCCGTCATAAAATGATAGATCTGGGAAGTATGTAATATCTAAACTTTGAAATCCCTTTATCAAAACATCTGTAGTATTTCTACCCTCTTCTTCTATCAATTCTAAGACCCGCTTAAATACATATGGGTGCTTATATTGTAGTTTGTTGCAAAGTTTATTGCATAAGTCCAACAAGGTGATGGATCCAGAAAATCTCCCCCCCCCCTCCTGGGAAAGTTTTACCTCTCATGCTTGCTAAAAGAGAGTGACCACAATTTGCTATTCTGTAAGGATCAGCCATAATGTCTTGAATTAAGATTAAGACAGCTCTCTTGCCAATTACTACATCGCCACTTTTCAAAACGTCAGAAAAATTGAATATACGTCGAATTCTGTTTTCTTCTATTTTGGATAGTTTTATAAACTTCAGTGGAGGGGTACTTCTATTGTTTAGTGCACTTATTTCACTATTTTCAAGACATACGAATCCATTTTCCCAAGTAAGTGATCTGTCAGGAGAGGATCCCCCCGGTCCAAGATTTGACGCAAAAATATTGTCAAGTACTGAATTTGGTTTTCCTCTCCAGGATTTTTCATTGGCAACTTCGTATTGATATGCTTTCCAAACATCAAAAAAACCACCTTTGTTTTTTTTCTCTTCGAACAAAGTGAATAATGTCTGATGAATATGCTTTGGTATACTGCATATAAAAGTAGAAAAAGTCAGTTGAGGATCTGGTGATGATGTTTTGTTCGAAAATGGCACCAACAGTGGGTACTTTTCAATTAGATTTTGTAGCGCAGAACAATCGATAAAGTCTTTTGCGATAAGGGTTTTTGAACTGTTCTGTTGCAAGGCAACAATTTCAACCCTAGCGTTGACCAGTTTAAGGCAGTTTTCTTCACATATATCTAAGTACTCTTTGCTTTTTTTTTCTAAACTTTTTAGTATTTCCTTATGAAGAATACCTGTAGAAACTATGCATCCAAACGTTGGATGAATATACGATGCACTCAGATGTGGAGTGTCGGCATAAAATTGAACAAAATTTAAGACATGAGGGGTTTTACAAAGTTGTCGTAGTTCTTGAGTAATGTCAAGTATTCTTCCGTCTAAGTTTGTCTGGAAGTTTGCACAGGAACTCAAAGTGAGTACTGTAGTAAATGTTCCACGCTCACCGACAATATCTTGTAGTCCGAATCTTGACCATAATAAATGTTGATCAAAGAACTTGGATGAAATGGTTATCGCAGCATGAATAGAAATAGTAGCTTTGTTCACATCAAATGCTTTCACGATGATTTCATCCGAAGTGTCATGTTGACCTAATTGAAAAGCTAATACTGTCACCTCAAATTCCTCTTTATGCAGCGTTATTTGAAGTGCTTCATCTAAAAGACGTAACATAAGAATCCTGTCGTCTGGTAACACTCTCCATTTCCGGATATTTTTAATTGAATTTTTCTTAAATGTACCTCTAGATATATCCGCTGGCGACAAGGATTGAATACACTTCGAAAAATTATTTCGGAACGTATCGTAAAAATCGTATTGATATTTTTGAAGAAGTGATTCATTCACATGTGTGAAATGTGTCCGTTGAGGTTTTGGTAATAGAGCGAGATGAAATTCAAAACCATCACCTTCAAACATTTTTGTACTCACACTCCATCTTAAACATTCAAGCCCCCTCCTCGAAAAACTGGCTAGAGGCAAATGCTTCCTGACAATGTTATAGACTTTAATAAGACTAAATTTCTCTCTTGGTAGAATTCCTAAATACGTGAATGAAGCTGAAATATCTGAAAATCGTTCTAAAGTTGCCACTATACCGTCCACATCAAAATCGAAGTCATACCACAAGGTTTGAGTGACACGTGGAATCGTACAGTCTCTTATTCTAATTGGTTCAATTCTGGTAAGTATGTTAGCTGGATTCAAGCCAAACCTGATGACTTCTTCGGTATTTTCCTTACCTGTCGTGATATATGCTGATTCGACCTCGTTGTCTGTCATTTCAATGTCTTCCAACTTTAAGTTTTACATAACAATTAATTGGAATGTACACGTAATAAACTGGATAAGGTTTGTTTGGGTAAGGGTTTAAGGTTAGGGTTAAGGTTAAGGTTACAGATTAGCGTCTTCATCAGCGTTGGAGGAATGGTTAGCAGGTTAGGTTAACGGCAGGGCTAGACAAGTCAATTATTTTGATAAAGGTGAGGTGTTAGACTATTGTGATATCAATAATAACCTCTTGGTAAAAAATTTCAAATTATTGTAGCCGCATAAGATGTGTTTATTTAAGGTAAAGACATAGGTGAGCGTACCTTAACTGCAAGTTTAAGCGTAACTGTAACTTTAATCTTATTCTTAATTTAAGCCTTTATTCTAACCTTAACCTTACGACAAACTTGACCTTAACTTGATCTATAAATTCAATATGAACGTTTAACTTAAATGGAAATGTAATTAAAATTTTAATATTTTCCTTAACCTTAACTTTAGTCTTAAACTTAACCTTTATACAAACCTTAAACTTCATCTTAATCATAGGCAAAACCTAAAATTCAAAACATTAACCTAATCTTAACCTTAACCTGAATCTGAATCTTAACTTTAACCTTAACCTTAATCTTGAACTTAACCTTAACCTTAACTCTAATCATAAGATTATACCGAAGTTTGAGTCTGTATAGCTAAATATATCGTTACATAATGTCTTTCAGGTTGAGTTTGAATGTTTACTTGGTTGTTGGTTTTTAAGTAGAGCACACAAGGGTTTAGTATGTATTCAAATCAGGTGAGTTCTGGAAAATATGTTTATGTCAATGAATTATGTAAATATCCGCTGGGTATTTTTTTGTAATATACTTGTCACATATACCGTCATAATCAATTATTGTTTAAATTTTGGGTTTACACTAAATAGGGTGTGTGTGTGTGTGTGTGTGAGGGAGAGGGTGTGTGTGTGTGTTTTTTGGTTGTGTTTTTAATAAATGTATATTGTTTGTCGCTAGAGATCGAAAAGAAGGTGAGTATGTAGAATCGAAGTTGTTGTAGGGTCAATATAAACCAGTGCATTTTCAATGTTAGAAATAAATTACATGGTTTAACATGTGTTTCAGTTGAAAATGGAATGTGACACAACCGCAGAAAAAGATAACGGTAACTATATTTACACATTAAATTAAGCTAAAAACAAATCATTTTTAAAGGAGAAAGTATTTTAATTTTCAAGGTGCATAATTCAATTAATTATATTTTCAATAGAATATGTTACAATATCTGAGCTGGACAATATTATTACCAAAGAGATAACCTCATTGAAGAGTCTGGTGATGGAAAACACTAAAGTGATGATTATGGAAGAAATGAAAGTATTGAAAGAGGACGTCTTCAGGGAAATTAGCAATGAGTTTTTTATCCAGGACAAAATAAAAGAAGAAATCAAGATGACCGTTTCACTGAAAGTCAAATCGTTTGAATATGAAATGACACAGAAAATGGTTCTCTTCACAGATCATTTACTAGGTCACCGTTGGGACCAATTATGGAAACTCCTAAAGATGAATCTCTGGGCTCTACATTTCTGAAAGAAATTCTAGACAGGCATATTTCTCAGTGCAAGGTCGTTTTAATTCGTCCTTCAAACACTGCAAGAGCTCATTCAACTCAAAGTCATGTTTTATCTGTAAATGAGACATATACTAGACTTATCCCTAGAGAAATTGAATCAATTCCGAAGTCAAGCACATCATCTTTCATTGATGAAGAAAACGCTGTATCCCCTCACTCAATGGATATAATTTCAGAGCCCTTGGAGATGCCAACTAATCAAATGCAACCTAGTTATGATATTGTCGACAATAATTTCAAGGTCTCCAATCAGGTCGAACTGACTACAGAGAAGAAAAACTCTGCACATATTTCACGGCCATTTAAGACCTTGAGAAGCTATCCAAGAAGACACCTAGCTAAAAAGGAGTCTGATGTCCTTGATTTGATTGATGATTCCAACTTCATGGTGAAATTGACCTTGACCTGATAGTTTGACCTACTTTTGAATGTTTCTACACTTTGGCCTTTACTTTTGAACGATTAGGGCTAGAGCTTCCATACTTCACAAATTTATTTTTCGTGAAAAGATTTTTCATTGGATAACAATAACCTTGACCGTCTGACTTTTAACTTGGAGATTTCTTTGTCATCCTGTAAACCACAGTCTATGATCGTACTGGTTAAATTGGTTGGAAATCATATTTATCTATGTTCTTCTTAAATCCCCCATTCTGTTTGAGTTTCTTGTTTCAGTGTTCCAAGAGAGGATATTCTGTTAGTCTTTGCATAATCTGAAAGTCTTTCACCATTCTGAGAGTAGACCTAGATCATTTCTATAAGCCCTCACTAGAGAATCCTGGAAAATAGAAAAAATAATGTCTTAGTCGAAAAAAAAAATTGTTACATAATATAAGCTTGATGGAATTCTAAATATAGATAAAAAGGGTATAAATACAAGTTATAACATCAGATTTTGACTTTTCATATCAACCATGGGTAACACCTACAGTAAAGAAAAGAGTAAAGGAATGAGTAAAATTCAGTTTGGAGAGAGAATTCTTTCAGAGAAAGATGTAGACAGAGGTATACCATTTAAAATACAAAAAGATGGCACTATTGCGATCATTTCTCAAGAAGAATATAACCAATTATGTCCAGAAAAGGGTGATCCTAATGTTGTCAGAGATTACATAGAAAGACCCTTGATTGCAGAAGAAGCCAATGAGGAATATAACCATTTATTACCAAAAGAGGGTAAGAATTACTTGGATTACCCTGAAAGACCTTTGACTAGAGAAGAAGTCAAGTTTATAGATGATAAGAGAAAACAGTTGTCAGAAAAAAAATGTTGTTAAAGACACATGATTTTTAGCCCACAAAACCATTGGAGAAGATACAAGGATTAATGGAGGAAGTCCAAACTGAACTCTTGGAAGACATTAAGGCTTATTATGAGAGTAACTTTTCCAGTATTTGTTTATTACAAAATTATGTATTCTAATTAAAAAAAAAAAGTTTTCACTTTCATTTGTTGTGCCTTAGACCATTTAAATTGACCTTATGATCAAGATTGTGATATATACTCTGATAATCATCTATGATGTCATCTATGATGTCTCTATGATGTTTACCTCAAAAGATTGAATCAGGGTATTTGTGTTCAAAGAGGTGAAGAAACTATACAGACAGATATAAGATTTTGGAAGCATACATATCAATGGGTTTAAAGGAGATATAACACTAGATTATTAAAAAGAAAGAACACAAACTCATAGAAATGATATTGAAAATACCTTTCATGAAAAAAGTGTCATGCTCTAAGATATTATTTTTATAAACAGGAGAAGGTTTACACCAGTCCCATGCACTCATAAGAAGATCTTGGGTAGAAACACCAGGGAATTTTAATTCCACACAATCAGATTATCTTACATCAGTTATAAGGTTACAGTATTTATACATAGTTAAGAGGGTTATTAAGATTTCTTTTCTGGTCATCCTGATGGGCTACATTATAGTATTCTTTCCCTGTGATATAATGTTAATGTTAAATGGGAAATTCAGAATTCATCAGCAATTGGAGTCAAAACTTGCTATCTTTACCAACCATGCTATTAAGGAAGCTGGGGGTTAACAAATTAGCCATATTTAACTTATTCTATAGATATGCTATCTTCAGCTGTTAACTATCATTTGGTAAAGAAAAAAAAACTATACATTTTAGTTTTTAAAATTTGATCATGCATTTTTGTATATATTTATATGGAGCTCTTCTTCTTCTAAAGGAGATCAATATAGTTTAAACATGACCATGACCACCAAACCCTCTTTATTTAAAAAAAGCATAAATCATTTACTTATCAATTCAAAATTATAAACATGCATATGTAAAATAAATAAATAAAAATTACAATTGTATCTCATTGAATCTTTACCTTCAAGTTTGTGTGTTTCTATGTTGGTTGACTAACTGTGTATTTCCAAAGGAACAGCAGACAGTCTGAACTTCATAGAGAATTGATTATAGATGGTTAGGAACAAACCATATCTTCCATGTTGATGACTGTAAAAATAAAACCATTTTGTTAATATGACAGAGTACTGCATGAAACAATGCATGTTTAAATACAACAAGTACAATGTCAAAAAAGATCATGAAAATATTTGTTTTTAATCTCAAAAAATTGTTTTTAACTTTAACTCCAGATGAGAAAAGTTCATCATGTTAATATCTTTAGATGATAAAAAAGCACAATTACTGTATTAATATCACAAATAAAATGATTATCAAATTAATTATTTAGACACTAAAAGACTTTTTATTAACAGCAGATTAATACCTATCTGTAGTGCATACAGAAAAATACATTTTTTTTTAGCATCATCACAGTACAACATGTAGTCCTTCATTTTTTGAAAAGCTCATTACCAAGAAACAAAAGTGAAAATGAAATTATATGTATGCCATATATCACACATATTTAGAATCAAAACAAAAGTAAATGACTTAGAATTAATCTTTTGTAAATTCCTTCTTTTCTCTTATTAGATTCCTAATTAATATCTCTTTGATCACCATTTAGTAAGTCTCAATTCCATGGGTAACATACATAATGAATTATGAAATTATGTCATGATTTATACAAAAGGACTTAATAATATTCTGAAGATCCCTTAATCATGTGTTAATATATTTTAGGTTAAATAAGGGTGTGCTTATATAAATGTAAGTTAGAGACAACAGATCACATAAGTATTGCACAGTAATTAAATTAACCATATAATCATGCTTAAATGCAAAGATGACCTTCATAGGAAATGTAAACAATTAAAAAAACAAGACAAACTTACCAGAGATATCCAACTATATGCCCAATAAGCCTATCCATTAAATAATCCAGTGAAATAACATCTCAGCTGATCCTGAAAAAATCATACAATTCAGTGATACACATTTAACCTCATTTTACAATGTAAGTAAAGCAATAATTTACAGACAAAAGGGACAGAAATGTAAAAGATACCATGTATTTTACCAAAATTTAGAGAATATTTTTCTGATTTAAATTCAATCATAGAATGACCCATCATAGAAATATTAAATGCACTCTGAGTTACATGCAGGTTATACAACTGTAAATCACATGAAATGAGGATAAATACAGTATTTACATTCAAAACAGAACTTTACATATGATAATTATGATTAAATGCAAAGATGACCTTCATAGGAAATGTAAACAAAAATAAGACAAACTTACCTGTGGAATATGTCTGTCAGAAGGGAGATTTCAAAAATGAACACGGTCTCAACATTCATATGGCAAGAATGCATCAGGATGATTACTTCAGTGGTCATGGAGAAATTGAGCTTTATACAAGAAAAGCTTCATAGCATAACAATCATGATAGAAAAAGAGAGGAAAAACGAAAGATAGTCCTACATTTTCTGAAAATGTAAGTTCACTTCTAAGAAACAAAAGTGAAAATGAAACTTTAATTTTACAAGTGTATGACGTCATAATGTTTGGGTAGCTCGCTGACTAGACTGTGTACAAAATCGTACACAATACGATCAAAACGTAAGTCCAACCTATTTTTTGCACACGATCCTAATTTTTTGCACACGGTCCTTAGAGATGATGCAACAGGTATAAAAACGCAGGTAAAACGTATTGATGCACAGGGCCCTTACAGTAAAGGTATATAAACCATGTGTGTTATTTGTTATTGTTTTCAGTAAAAAATCCAGTTTGAACTGGTTATAGGGCTGTCTAGACTGTGAATGCATGCGTGACGTCATAATGACATTCTTTTTGAGTCGCTGACAAAATCGTAGTAGCAGCGTATAGTATATAATGTAAACACAGTGTAAACACCCGTATTTAGGGGCTATATGTAATCAATTGACCCACCTATCCCCCACCCCCAAGGATTGTACTGAGTTGACCCCCTTATCCTCCCAGCCAATCAGAATCCATCATTTTTTTTATCTCATTTGCATAATGTCCTAGATATTGACCAGGCTATCCAACCTGCTTCCGGCTTGGCCACTTCAGGATAAACCACTTCCGCTTCTGCTAGGGCCCACTTTCGCTTCCGCTAGACCACTTAGGGTTAAACCACTTCCGCTTCCGCTAGAGGACCCACTTCCACCTAGCCCACTTCCGCTTCCGGTTAGCCCATTTCCAGGTAATTCCGGTTAGGCTACTTCCGGCTACCCCACGTCCGGCCACTTCCGGTTAAACCACTTCCGGCCACTTCCGGTTATGACGTCACTTCTGCCCTATCTGGGAGGTTTATACTACTAGTGTACAACATAGATAAAGAAATGTTTGTTGAAGTATTGACAAACTTCATACCTTTATAAAATGAAATCAACAAAAACTGCACAAAAATACAATCGTGACAATTATACAATGAATTAATTATACAATTAATTCTTTTAATAGATTGCCTTAGCATGCACTACTTTAAACCCGTTGTTCTTAAAGGAAAACAAAATCATGCAAAATATTATAGACCTTTCTTTATCTAGAGCAATGGCCTTTGGAGAAAAAAAAATGGCTGAAAATTTTAAAGTTTGCTAAATATAATGTATGTGCATTTAAGACCCTACATTGTAATGTCATGCGAAAAGTGCAGGCGTTTACTACACGGGGATCTGCGTACATATTTAAACAAAAAAAAAAAAGAAAAAAAAAACGTTTTATGTGATGAATTATATTATAAACATTTATCTAATAAATGTCTTTGTAGTACGTTAGATTACAAATTTCACACAAAAACCCATCAACAATATTAAATACAGTTTTGATTTCACATTGATCTATTAACGTCATTCTGATTTAATATAATTATACACGACGAGAATTAAGATCTTTTCAATACCTATTTGTTCTTTCATTGAACTTCTTAAATGTAGGTTATTTTATAAATATGTTCTCTTGTATAACTTTATTTATGGAATATACAATTTTTTAAATGATAAAAGAAACACGAATCATCAACTTAACTTAAAAGAATTTTCGGTCGGAGACTGTGTGTGTACATGCTCGACAACAGCCCATTGTGCCTTTAGGTACAAAACCGTCTCAATTCACATAGAATATACAAAAAATACACAGTGACAGGTGTCTTCGCGGCACGTGTCTCCACCTGAAATGGCACGTGAGGACAGGTGTCCCTAATTACACAGGCCGACCATAGGGACTTTTTCAAAAGCGTTTTTTTTGGGGGGGGGGGGACTTCTCAAGGAAAAAATGAAAAGCAAGCCCCCCACCCCCAATAATAAAAATAATAATTTAATAAATTAAAAAAAAAACAATATTCACTATTAATAGTAAAATACTAGTATGATAATACTCAGCCCCCAGCCAATTAGATGAATGATTCTTATCTGACCAGTTTATATTAATATATTAATTCATATTAAAACAAAATCTTTATCACTTTCTAAACTTGTATTTAAAAACTTGAAACACTAAAAATGTAATTTTGACAAACCAACTGAAGAATTTTTTTTCCTAACGGATTACCCCGGTATATAAGAAATGCCAACCTCTGGTATCTAACACAAATGCCTGGTAAGGTACCTTGATGTCTTGTGAATACATGTAATTATTTTAAAATAATTCTTCAATGTCAATTGCAAAATATTGGGAAAAAAAATTAATTATTTTATTGAGGAACGTCTCACCTGTCCTTAATCAGTACTCGTAACTTGACATATTTCTTTATTTACTTTTTAATCGATCTTTTTAGTAAACCTTTTCTGTAAATAATTTCATTAAATGTGCCCTTCCTTAGCTCTTCCATTTTTTCAAAGGAACATTCATCATAGACAGCTTCAAGAAAGTGGGATTGGAAATGATTGATTTCTACATAACTGCATGCACTTACTTTTTTCTATTCCACTTCACGCATTCTATACGAGTTTACCAAAACTTATGTGATAAATCAAATTCAAAATTAAATTCAATTAATTAAAATTCAGTTAAATAAAATTAAATTAAAATTGAGTTGCGTTCACGGTGCTGAAATATTAAATTAATCACACAGAAATACACATCTAGTTATTTTAACTGTTTGAAGTTGAATTTGATACAGCATGTAAACACTTTTGAAATATTTCTATAATTGGTGGTAACATAGTTAAATATTTAACTTTTTGTAAAATAAAAGGTAGGTGGGTTAGTATTGAGATATACTTTCAAAGTTTCCCTGCCTGGGAAACATGGGGAAAACTACACATTGGTGGCTTCCATGTCGGGAAACCACTGAGGCATGTTTACATGGTTTCCTATCTTGGGAAACTTACGGGAAACCACAGGTTGGTTGTTTCCATATCGGGAATCTACATGGAAACCACCGGGGCATGTTTCCATGGTTTCCTATCTTGGGAAACTTACGGGAAACCACAGGTTGATTGTTTCCATGTCGGGAATCTATGTGGAAACCACCGGGGTATGTTTCCATGGTTTCCTATCTTGGGAAACTTACGGGGAACCACAGATTGATTGTTTCCATGTCGGGAATCTATGTGGAAACCACTATGTGGTTTCCATAAAATGGAAACTATATGGAAACTACTGATGTCACGATTCCCATATGTTTCCATCAGGTTTCCAAATTTGGGAAACCTGGCTTTTCATCCTGTGTTAAGATCTGTGATAATTAGATAAATCAAATGTATAATTTCACTCTGTCTGAAACTTTAACTAAACAATTCTTCCGTCTTTCAATTATAAAACGAAGAGCATTTATCAAGGGCTTCACCTTGCATTATCACTTATTTCCTAGACCCTTGCCGGAACTCATGATAGAACAAAGACAAATAATTTGTTTTCACACGGTAAAGAAGAAGGTACGGTTTGGGCTTTATTGTGCCATAAAAACTTACTGTTCTTAAAAAGTTATGAAATTGGATTTAACAAAAGTTGTGTAGACATATTCTAGAGTTCATGTCTATCAGATAACCCCTCCCCCCCAAAAAAAAAATACTCTAAAGAACGTTTAGAAAATTGAAATAAGTGAAAACATCAATGTTTGCTAAAGTCAATAACATTAAAACGTACTATTTTGTTAACTTTATACAAGCATTAGAATTTCTGGGATGACAGTCATTCAAAGCGATCTTCATTTTGAGTTACATGTATGAAACTGAAATTTATTCATCACGCTTCCTGCAAAAAAGAGTTGTTGAAAATTTATTATTGCTACATTTTTAAAAGTATAACAATAACATCGTATAAGTAAAGGGGTACTTTGTATATATCAGATTTTGGCATACATTCCATACAAAACTAATAAGTATCACTTATGCCATTAAATAATAACAATAGAATTTTATTGCCTCTCATTTTATATCCATAAAAATCAATAGTGATTAAAATCAACAAAACATATTTTCCAGCGTACGTCTGATAAGTAATTAATATGTAAACAACTTAATTCGGTAGACTTACCTTAATTTTATTCAAATGGAAATTCGATCTACTCAAATGATGAATTATGAATGGGTGGGATTTTTAAATAATTAATTTACTGCACATTGACCGCTTTTTGATATCTTAAATTTAAACATCATTACGTAAAATATATTCGTTCACCAAAACAGAAATAGCTTGCTGAAGATTTGAATAAAATAACTGGGTAATAACATGGGTCTCATGTTATATTACAACTAGTAGATGCTTTTTTGCAAACACCGGAAAGCAAAATAAGATCCTCCTGTATCTATTACATCGCGGAACATTTACTTAATTAAGCGATTGGACATATCTGAAAAAAGAACCGTATAACCTCAAGTAAAAATAAGTAAGTTTTTTAAAAAAGTCATTTTATTGAAATCAAGTCTCATTAATCGGAATAGCAATATTTAAAAATACCAAAAAAAGAACATGAAAATCCTCAATAAAGCTTAAGTACTTTCTTATTAATCTTCAGACACTGTACGTTCATTTCAATCTTCGGCAGCTTCTAAATTTTGAAATGAAAGCCCTAAATCTTTACGGAAGATTTTTGCGACATCTCTTTGTATTTTTACAGTTACACGATATGGGTTTGATCCTAACGACACAAGTTTGTATCCTAATAAGAACGTTCAGACTGGTCCATCTAGATAAGATCGCGTAAACCGAGGTCCCTTGTTGTAGAAGTTGCTGGCATGTAAAATATCTACACTTGCTCAAATACCATAGATTCTTAATTTGAATTCATCCAACGCAAATTGATTGATTGTCCATTGTCTAACTTCCCTCTCGAGAATTTTTCATTCATATGGAGACTTCACCAAATGATGGCATCTCTGTATGAGTAACAGTTCCTCAAAGACACGTTCAACAAATACTTATAAAATACGTACCCGATTTTCTTTATTTCTGTGTTTAAAATTTAAAACTAATTTAGCTATACTAGTTC